TCTCTCTCTCTCTCTCTCTCTCTCTCTCTCTCTCTCTCTCTCTCTCTATTTCTCTCTCTTTCTCTCTTTCTTTTTTCTGTCGTTCGTTGATAATGTCATATAACGAAGGTATAAACTAATTAAAAGCTCGAAACAAAAATAAAACCGAAAGTGTTTGAACAAATTTCGAGATGAAGAATATTTTTCTCGTATGCTCTCCATGAACTTCGCTTTCTAGTGTTCGACATTTTTATTTTTATCTTTGAGTCTTATGATTAATACTTTGATTAACTCTGCAAACGATTAATGGTTTATATATCCGTATTATAGAAACATGAAACATGATTACAGAAATGCGGAAAATTTTATTAGAAATACGATACGTTTTGGAATAAAGCGAAATAAATCCGTACCTAATATACGCTTATTCGATTACCGTTGAATATTTCGCGTCATCGTAAACTCTTTCATTATTTGTACATCGAATATTTATTGCACGAAGATATCTTTTTTATTTATATATTTGATATTATAAATCTTATCAACACGCGTACGAAACGATATTTTCATTCGCTTTTATTACTATTAATGTTACTGTTCTATATTTGAATTATTGTTTCAATCTGTTTTCGAAAAGCAATAGAGATTTGTGTTTTCAATTTTTAAACACGTATTTATTAAAAACACACAAACGCGGAATATGTATTTCATTAAAACGATATTAAAGTCAATACAAATATCCAAATAATTAATTTATCAAATTATTCAATTATTTTCATGATGATTTGAATTTTGATATAATACACGAAAAATCGAATTGATCCGAATATGAGAATTTTTTAACTTGGATTCGTGCTCACGCGAACTATCCAAAAAATAATATAAAATAACGGTTAAGTTAGCTAAAATTTATTTAGTATTTTTAATTGTAAAAGAATATTTTCCACGGCGAAAAGTATCGTTGCAGTTAAAACGATCTAAGCATGTAAATTGTAAACCAATTACTATTTCTTCATTAAAATCGAGAAACACATCAAGTATTTCCGTATTTCAAAAAGTTGAAGTACTATCGTAACACATTCTTGAGACCAAATCATCATTTATATAAATGTATAATAATATAAAAATTACACGTAACTTTAACGAATTTTGCATTTCGCGTTTTGCAGGTAGTTTTGTAGGTAATTTTTAATTGTTCAAACCTAAATTTACGGATTCACCTTTTTGTATATTTCGGATTATTTTATTAGATAATTGAAGCATTTGAATTTGAATAATAATCTATTGATTATTTCGGATATTATGTATTATTCAAATATGCAACTGAATGAAACTAGGTAAACTGAAACATAGAATTCTATTTGAACTAGATATTAAGCGATATATGCGAAATCACGCAATTAAGTTACATGTATGTGTAATAAGTTTGTTCATTTTATTTGTCATCACACCCCCGCGCATTCCCTCCTCTCTCTCTCTCTCTCTCTCTCGTCTCTAAAGCCTGAATATATACGTGTTTCATTCTGCGTGCACGAAAAAGCAAGGAGACAGTTTAAAAAGAAGCAGATTTATTTCAAATAATTTTATTTGGATATTCGGCACCTCGACAAGCCGGCTGCGTCGAAAAAAGTTGTTTGTTTTGAATCGCGTAGTCGAGCCTCGGGCCAGCCAGGGGCCTCGAGCTCGAGCCGATTCCGAGAAGACGCCCCCCCCCACTCCCACCCAACTTCGCGCTGCATACGGCGCACGGCACGGTCATACGTCATACTCTTCCCGGGCCCGGGCAAAGTAGCACGCAAACGAGCGCGGAGCGGCGGGCGCCGAAACCGCCGAAAGGTATCGAGGACCGATGAAAATTATCGTAACACGTAATTTAGAAGCGTACGATCGTTCTTGACCGTCGCGATGATCAGTGAAATAACTATACAGTATCTATATCACAATCTATCGAGACTGCGTAATTTGTCGTCAATTCCATTGGCACGCTTCGTTTCGTGTCGAAGCGGGATCGCGCGGTCCCGCACTTTCGCGTTTTTTTTGCTCCAGAGTCTCAAAGATTTAATTGAAACAATTTTATTTTGATATTCGACTCGTCGCCAGCCGGCAGCGTCGAGAGCAATTAGCCTCGGGCCTCAAGCGACTCGAGCCGATTCCGAGAAGACGCCTCCTCCCTTCTCCCTCCTCCCCCGCCACTCTCGCCCAACTTCGCGGCCTTCGCGCTGCATACGAACGGACATACCTCTACATACCTCACCCCTCACATACCCCCGCGGCCCCGGGCAAAGCAGCACGCGAGCGAGCGCCGAAAGGTGATTCGGGAATCGGGAACTATTCGAGATCATCGTAGCACATAATTTAGTAGGGGCGTGCGATCGTTTTCGACCGTAGCAATGGTCAATGAAAAGGTATACGGTGTCTGTATCACAATTCATCGAGACTCTGTGTAATTCAATAGGTATCTGAATTCTGCCGGCACGCGTCGTTTCGTGTCGAAGCGGTCCCGTACCTTCGCGTTCTTTGCTCCAAGATTCTCAAATGTGGAGTCCGCGTTTCTCGAACGCGTATCGGGAGCATCGGGAGTAATGACGGGCAATTGTCGTAATGTACTCGGCTTACAATTAGCGCGCATGAGTCGCGAGTGATCGCGTTTCGTCCCGTTGTTGCGTCGAGCCAAGCTCGGAGCCGACGACGCGACGTTTCCCCCGTGCGATAGAAAGCGATCGGAAAAACTCCGTTTCATCAGAGTATTTGTCTCGCGCTAATTACGTAGAAAGCATCGTAAGCACGACCGAGCGTCAACGATAGGCGAGCGATGAACGTGGCGAGATGTCGGTTTCGCATAATAGCCGTTCGCGGTACGTAGATCAGTAGTTGCGCCGCCATCTTGCGCGAGATATCTTTTTGAATTTTTCAGTTGCGAAATACGTCACGAGCGTGCGACGAGCTTCGGGCTTCGGGGGGAATCGGGATTGCCGGGCGAATTGACAAGCGGAGTATCGCGTATCTCGCGTTATTTACACGCTCGAAGTGCATCGCCGAATAAAGTGCCGAGTGGCGGCTAATTAACGCGCGCGGTAATTAGTCATGTTTTTCGCGTCCGTGTGAGTGATTCCCGTTCGACGGCGAAGGAGCTCGGATCGACAGGATGACATCGGCTGGTGAGTTTTTATGTCTCGTCATTTATTTCTCGTCTAGCCGCGACTTTGCCATTTTTATTTATTAGCGATATAATTACAATTTTATTTATTCGTTTTTATCGATTGCTTTTTAAAAGTATATCCTTTCCCTCCTGCACGTTTTTATCGGTTCTCTTTCAATTATACATATAAATTTTAGAAAATGATAACGAGAGTCGGACTTGCGTACAAATCAGTCGTCAAAGAAGCAGTTTTTTTTTTTAATTTTGTGCCAATTAACGGGGATAAGCTTTTGAAGCGAAATGTAATCATTGCTACGATTTTTAATTAATTTCGAAGCTGCTGGAGTTCGCGCCGCGTAAACAGAGATAATTTTTGTTAAATATGTTTTTATGTTTTTTCTTACAGATGGATACGAGATCTTCGTTCTCGGATGTTGCAGCAGGCTTGCAGGTCTGATTTTTGCGCAACGTCTTGGTAAGTGGTATTTCATTGTTCTTTTTATCGCACGTTTTATTTTGTGCTGTGCTTGCGTGCGATTCCCTCCGCCTCGAGCTTGGTTTCTCGGTATAAATAAGTTGAGCATAATTTGACACGGATTTTTAATGAGAGGCATTTGTTTCTCTCAAAATTATATTATGTCGCATGTGAGAGATTCATGAACTTCAGTGGAGAAATTATATCTCTATCTCTATTAATATAAACCGGACTTACGATGTTATAAAGAATATATTAATACGTAAATATGAATCCACGCGTAGGTGGTGATCCATTCTCTTTAATTAAATTTTAACTCGACTTTCTTCACGGTATTTTATTTAACATTACCTGAGAGCGTTACGCGCGCGTATGAATTATGAGACATACATTCCGTTACAAAGCCCTCGCGATTCTCATATTTTATAAATAATTTTTCCATTTTTGTTTTAAGTTAAAAATTGCTCGCTAATGGCACTTCCTGATAATCTTGCGTGATAACAGCGGGCAGTTTATGCAAAAGGATCTCGCGTATCATTCATTCCACGCTGCGATTTAACATCGTTATTGGAAACTCTCGAGGCCAGCAAACTGTCGATAATCACCGTTTTTATTTTTATTTTTTTTTCCACCTTTTTCTCGCGATTGCCCGCAACTCGACGTTAACCTGGTTAACTCGGGACAAGAGCGGGGGGCGCAGTCGCGATCCGATGATCGGTGTATTACGGTTATCGCTAATTAGCTCGCGCAGTGCATTACGGTGCGCGGCAGCAACGGGGGAAATTTTATTTTGACAATGATTGCGCGCATAGCGCCGGGCGTTACCGGGGTGATTCATGCGCCGGGACGAAAATAATTTGCGGCAACACCGGCGCAGCGATTGCGATTGTAATTGCTCGCGCGTATCCCCGGTATATGAAGTCATACGTTTCGAATGTCCCTATAAAGCAGTTATATTAAATTGAGAGGGATCGCATGACCGTCCGTGTGCGCCTGCACTCGTCCCGAAATTTATCCGGGATACGCTATACATATCCACTGCCCGCCCCGGAGATTCCGTTTGCGCAATTTTTCGCGCGCTGCTCACACGCGGCCGCATTCTTTCAATTTGCCGTCGAAATTCTGCAAATTTGTCGCAAATTTGGATATACGCCAGAATTCGGATCTACCGGCATCAATGCGTTGGTAACGAACGTTACACGTTACTGGGTTGAGAAAAAGTTATAACGACGTGACCGGGGTTGTTTTTTTTTTTTTTTTTTTTCATGAAAAGTTGCGATCGTTTTGCGCGAATTTGCAAATTTTTCCGGGAGTAATTAATGCAATTCTTTTTAATTGGTTGAGAGAATTAATTATTTTTATAACGCTTAAAATAACACGGTAATGACGCTCGCGACTTTATGACAGAAACATTGACAATTTAGGAAAGAAGATTATCAAAGGTATGTTACATTGACAGATTAATTAATCATTTTAAAACTAAACCTTATGCAATTACGAGTAGCGTTATTCATGAAATTATCAGAAAATGTCTTGGCGAGCAGTTCTTAATTGAAAACGAGAAAATCATTTACGACAGAATACTGAGACTAAAACGTGAAAATCGCGAGTTTTATGATAAAAATGTCTCGTAATTTATATGTGAATGTAATACGCTTAGTAATATTAAAATGTCTGAAGGAAAACGATCTAAAAGTAACGTTAATAAATTCTGGTATAATTTTTCGTTTTTCTTTCCACATTAATTCATCTCGCGGTATATAATTTAATCGATACTGGCAATAAGTACTATGTAAAGTTACTTTATACGCTTTTCTTACTCATGAATCTTACGCAAAATTAGATATTCCGCTCTTGTACTTTTTACATATCTTATTTTCTAATTTAATTCTCTCTTATAACTGCGTTACTCTATGTAATGGTCTTATCTTTTAATCTTATCTTTTAATTTTATCTTTGCAATCGTGAGTGTTGTGAATATTTTTTGATTGCGCATAATGATTTGAAGACACCGTTAAGGCACCTTTGGCCGTATTAAAAATGCTCATCCGATCTTTTTTTCGTCTTCACGTTGACGTTCGAATGAAAGACACGTAGGTACATGAATTTACCGCGAGAGCCATCGCGAGTGAAGGAGCGGTAAAGGTGGCGAGCATTATTCTCAACGCGTTTATCTCGCGGAACGCCGCAAAACCTCTATGAGATGCAGCCTCTTGGCATTCTCTTTCTCTCCTGCTCGCCGCCATGCCCGTGCCGCCGTAAATGCCTGAAACGCTGCTTTTGTTGATCCGTACGTTCGCTGGGAAACGAGCCTGCGGCGCGGCGCGTGTTACGGATTAAAGCGCGGAAACGCTATTCTGACATCTTTCTTGACTCCGCTTTGTCCCGGAGTGGCAGAAGCTCTGCTTTTACGCGGGTCTTGTGAGTAGGAAAGAGAAAGAGAGAAAGAGAGCGCGGGAAATACACCTGGGACGCGCTGTTTAAAAGGACACAACGCGTTCACCCCGTAATGAGGAGTGCCGTACAAACTCCGACGAGAAATCGTTAGCGCTATTCTCGTTAGGACGGTTAAACTCGTAACGCAATTATCCCAGTTATGTACAAGATCTTGCTCGTTCGCAGTTCACATCGAGTATGTTAACTCGCGTGCTATCGTGTACGAAATCGAGCAACGTTCTATGTTGTCGTTACGTCGCATATTCGCGAACGGATGTCTTTAGGGACTCGCTTTCGCAAGTTCTTTGAAGGTAGGTAATTGCGACAATAAATCGCGACATGCGATATATTCACGTATATTATTGAAGATATGATTACAAGAATGAAATATCGTGACATATAGAATTATATTATATCAGTAGAGATGATTATGCAGCGTTATATAGTAAAGTATGATTTTAATATAACTTGAAACTCGATAAAATAATATATGCAGTTTTCTTCACTTTTATCGCGATCTCTTTCCAAATTATTTCCATTATATTTAATGTGGCACGACAGGGGAAGGTTCGTATTCTGCATATGTAAGAGAGTTCGCGATTCGCAATGAATTATCGTAAGTAATTGGGTAAAAGGATTGGATTAAAAGGATGAAAAACGTGTTCCTCGATAAGGATTACGCGGCGCTAATGAAAATTGGGGAGATTATGAGAACGCGCGGAGAGGACATCTTAAATATGTTCTCGTAAGCTGCCGCGACGGAAAATTTGTGTCGTGTTGCTCTCGCGGTGTCTTTGTAACAGCCGTACCAATACTAGCGCGCGATCGTATATATGTAGGCACATGCGTGTACATGTGTGCAGTCGGTCGTCTTAAGGTACAAACCCCGAAATTTATCGCCACTAAACACGACACCCTGAAAACCCGTCTCGGTACCTGTTCCCGAAATTGCGCGAACTTCCCGTAATACGTATCTCCGCGATGTAGACGCTCTTTATTCGTACGTGTGCACGTTTCACCGTCAACGCGAGTGAGACAAGCAAACCGTTGTCGTCGTTACAGCACTGAATTGACACTATTGCCGTGAGAATGTCGTTTGAATTATTCGAGATGATATCAGTTAAAGAGCTAGTCAATTAATTTATCAATGTGGAATTATAGATTGCAATGCGAAATCTTTATATAAATTTTTAATTCAAGTTTAAATTTACTTTTAAATGTTTCATAATATAGTTTTAATACGATATAATATTTTCACTTTTTTGCAATATGTATTTAGAAATGGGAAACTAAGATAAAAAATGGAATTTAAATGTATTAGGTGCTGCACAGACTTATGCATTTGAAAATGAATATGAAGTAGATCTGAAAGGAGCAGTAGAGTTAATGATATCATGCACGATATCATGCATATACATAATGAATTATGCTTTACGTGGGTAAATGAGTAGAAACCTATATCATCCGGTTGGTACACCGTGAATGTTGTCTTCGTAAATATTTAACTCGATACTTCATTAACGAGGCGTCTAATATTGAACATTGGGGTTGGCAAATAGGGTCGACAAAGGGTTAGCAAATAGGAGTCTCATGCTAAAGTTACCTACTGAAGTAAGTTAACTTCAGTTTTCTCTAATAGTAGGATGCTGCTCATGTACGTTTTGCTTCTCGTATAACTTGTCTACTATAAGTCTATCATACAACATGACTAATTGTACTAAGCTATCCTTCGAGATATAGATAATTTAACAAATTCAAACTTGATGAAATCAAAGCGCTCTTGTAAGAAAATCGACGAGGATTTGACAACACAAAGCGTTTTAATTTTGAAAGATTAAGTTACAGATTTCCGGTTTAACTCAAATTTTTGCCAAATCGCGAAATAAAAAGTGAAATTAATATGTGTGGCAAGTCAAGATTAAATAAAACTCCAGAACTATTCTATAACATATAGTAATACCTCTTAGCAATGAAATAATTACTGTTCCCCTAGTTCGGTCCGTGGTACTTTGCGGTTGGTAGACTCAAGACATCTTGCTGCACATATATGTATACTTGACAGCTTATGTATTATTTCCCGTTTGCCGCGAGGAATCGAGGATTCGCTATTTGGTGCGCGAACGTCAGACGAAATCGTACACATCCGTATAATAATGTTGATGAGTGTAAAGGCCGCGAAACGCGAACAATGAAATCGCTGTGGATTGCTCGAGCGAGCAGCTCCCGCGACGTAAGTCCGGTAATATTTAATGATAAAGCGATGGAGGTGAAATGAAGTGAACTATCTAAGGTATTCACAATACGTCCCGTGCACGTACAGCCGCAATGAATTATGATCTCGCGGCGTGTACATCAGTAGCTCTCAGCTCTCCCACGGGACTCTTCTTTACGCTCGTGCCGGCATTTTACGCGCGCGTTCGCCGCGCGAATTGCGTAATCGTACAATTTCTTTGGACTTTTTTTATCACGGCATTCAACTGCACCAGAAAGAACTCCGGATCACCCGCTGGCAAATTTTTGTTATCTGCGTTGTACTATTAAAATGAATGGGCAAAATGGTTATT